CCCCGCCTGCCTGCTGTGCCTTGCTTCTCTGTGGTGGTGGGAATTGGAGCATCTTGGGGCCAAGACACTTTGCTTACTGCTGCTACAGAGAAGCAGAGGGGGCTGGGAGAGGGTGGTGGAGTGGAGCAGGTTGCCAGGCTGCTCCGGCTCCTGCTACCACAGTGAGGTTGGGAGCAACCCCTGCTGCTATCCTGCACCAGGCCTATCCGTAGGATAGTTGAGGCAGTCCCCATAGGGGGGCCCCCAAAGCACAGAGCCTAGAGTGACCACTTCGAACAGGTCTATGGATGGAATGGTGCTAGTGATGGAGTCCCTCTAGGACAGCAGAGGGATTTGTGCTGCCCCTTGCTTTGGATAAGAGCTTTGGGGTACGTACATCAGTATGTTTGCAATAGTACAAGGTAAGGTATGTGCTATGACTACAACAGTATATGTGGATAATTGTCATAACACTTTTCTACTTACTTTTTGTGTGTGTGTGTCTGGATAATTGGAAGTAAGCACTTCTGTCCATTCATCTGCAGTAGTTTCTCTTTTTTTGGGGGGGGAGGGTTCAGAATCACTTTGTAATTTTTCCCAGTGAGAGAGATAAAAAGTGGCAGTCCAAAGTTTATAGTATTATTGCTCCTGATTTGAGTGGCCAGTTCAAATTGTAATGTGTGAGAAGATAGTATTGATAAGCACAACCTTTGCTTTTCTACTTGGGGCACATCCTTCATATCACTGCAACATATAAAAAAACAGAGAATGGATTAGAATTCATGATTTATCCAAATGGTTATGCACATTTCCTTCCTGTAACTGGTTTCTTTGCCCTTCACAGAATGGGCAAAGGATTAAGACTTTGTGCCATGCCTCTCACATTTCTCTTTGAATAAGTTGGCTATTATGCCGACACTTAGCAAAATTAAACAGTGTTGAAAGCTTAGGAATGAACCCATGGTATTTTTAGACATTGTACACGCACCTTGGTATCTATGTGCATGTACAATGTCATCATCTTTCAGTGTATAGGTTTGTCGTAGCATGAATCCAAGCCTCAGTGATTTGAATGTCATTTAATAGATCAGGACATGTTACTGTGGCCAGCTTTTGAGAGTGTCTTTCTGGTTGATTTAGGTTTTTTTCAGTGTCAGATGTTTTTTCAGAAAGAACTGGGCTGCAGACACATAACCAAAAGCAGTGAACTATGGGGGGTGTCACAAGAACTAAGCCGTTTCTCATTGTGATGTGGCTTTTTTCCCTTTTAAAATCAATTCAATTTTGATTGATGTGAGATGAGTATGGACATTGAAGAGAGATTAATTAATTGAGAGAGTATCTGTATAATTACCCTACGATATTTTATTGAAGGTAATTTTGCCCCGGATACTGTTAAATTGGAATGATGTGGTCTGGTACTATTTTACACTAGATAATCCTGGATTTCCACACATCAGTTACGTCTCAATTTCCTGTCCCTTCTTTCAATTGATACAATTCACTAATTTAGTTACTTAAACAGTAACCATAGATATATGTTTTGGCATACCTGCATAGATAGATAGATATAGTAATGTACCCTACATGCTCTTATGTGAGGAGAAATTTTACAGCAGCTTCTGCTAAATTTTACTGACTTTTTGTTGTTTAAATTCTGTTTCCAGGCAAGAGAACTTCAGACCCTCCACAATCTACGAAAACTCTTTGTCCAAGACCTTACAACTCGAGTCAAAAAAGTAAGTTCAAATCTTGGATTTTATTTCAACAGAATGTCCTCCTTTCCCAGTAAATATATTGCCAGGCTATTATATCGCTGAATCATATCATTCCTGGTGTAAATCCAGTAGAGCTATAATTTATTGATCGGTGTTCTTATATTACATGCCATTACCTTGGTTTTTGGAAGCCAGAGAGCTTGCTGTTCTCCTGCTAATGGTACACCTTTTTTGTGGGTAGAGGTATTGATATTTGGCAAGCACTTAGCTCTATCTAGAAAATCAAATTCCGCTTCAGCTCCTGTTTTTGAGGCTTTTCCATCTAACTAGTTTTTCTGTGAAATGGGCTGATCTAGCTTATCAGTTACTAACCTAGAACTGACCCAAACCCATACCTAAAACTTATGCTGACTTGAGCCATAGTTGTGTGTTGCTGTCGGTTTTTATGATTCAAAACTCCTCATCTTTTCCTTAAGCAAAATAAATTTGAGAAACTCTCTATGCACCTCTGACACACAGTTTTTTAGCACAATTTTTTATCTCTAATCACAGACAAACTGAACTTTTTGTCAACATTGAAGCTAGTCAAAATGTTTTACAGCGCTCCCTTTTCTGGACCCTTAAGCTTTTTTGGTGAAGGTTTTTATTTGTTTAATTTCCACACTTGGAGGAATGTAGATGTCAAGAACACAAAATGAACGGAAAAGCAATCTCTCTTTGACCTGTATTTCTTGAGCAGTAGTCTCCCTTTAAGGAGCTTACAAGACTCCCAACAAAACCCTAGCTTTCCTCTACCACTGGATTCAGAGGTTTGGCTCTAATTCTGTCATTTGCATTCTGTGCAGAGTGTTGAACTGGACAGCGATGATGGAGGAGGAAGTGCTGCTCAGAAGCAGAAAATTTCCTTTCTTGAGAACAATCTGGAGCAGCTTACAAAGGTTCACAAGCAGGTGGGACTAATATCTCTGGCTTTGATTTCACCAGTCACACTTTAAATAGAAAGTGGGAAAGTCTATTATTTATTTTCTCCAGTTAATTTTTAACCATGGCCTTCTCTGAAGTACTAGTCATAGGAGAATGCTGCTAATTTTTTACTATTTTAGATTCTTCCAAAACACATTTTAATTGACACTTTAGTGGATGATTTTATAATTAATTGAGAGAGTATCTATATAATTACCCTAGGATACTTTATTGAAGGTAATTTTGCTGCAGATATTGTTACATTGGAATGATGTTTAGTTTGCAAAAATACACGTGGTATTAGGTTAACATTCATTGCATCTGGAATAAGTTGGAGTCTGAGATGGTTTTCTGGACTTGCAATATTTGTGTACTGAATACATGTGTCATGAACACATGATGCTAGACAAAATGCATATTTATGCCAGTCTAATGAACTTCAGTAATTGTTTGCGCAAGACTTTATCAATGTGTCCATACAACATTTAAAAAACAAAACAAATAGTTACTTTTAGTGCCCTTTTTATATAGGGACTAGAGCTGAATAAAGTCCCCTTTGTATGTGTGCATATATCCTCATTGGGCCTGTCCCTTTGTCCCTGCCACTCCTCTGCTTTTCTGGCTTTGTGACTGTTCTTTTCTGTCTCTAGAATAGTTTGGGGGTATGATCTAGCTTGCCAACAATGGCTCCTGGCTTCAAACCAGGAAACTGAAAGCAGAGGGAATTGGAGTGCAGTATGGAAGAGGAGATGTAGGGTTCTCTGTGCAGATTAAAGACTAATTCCTTCCAAAAGTCCTGAGGCTGGCCTAGCTCCAGGCAATCAGAAACTCGTTCTTCCTCTATGATGGAATGTCCACTTACTTGCTGTAGTTTATCTGAAATCACAGAAAACTAGGTGTTTCCCCAATATGTTAACTATTTTGGCATAATTAGTGTTCTGAGGGTTAACAAATTAATTATTGCTTGATTTCCAAACTGAGTTTTCAGCAGCAACAGGCTGATTCAACAAACTATACATTCTTATTGAGGTAGGAAGAGAGAGGAAATTGGAGATTAAGCTCTGTTTCACATACATTTAACTATTAGTGGTGGGTACAGTTCAGGAAGGTCGTGCTGAAGGCAATCCAATATATGAAACAGTGTTGTTGGTAAGAGCATGAAGTTTACGCATATGGAAAACACAGAGCAGTTCTAGTTTCATCTTTGTATGAATTGGGGCAATAAGCTATGGATTTTTTTATCCTTAGGAAATAAATCTGCCTAAATTCAATTTGAAAGACAGTATTGAGGTGCACAAATTAAATACAGCTGTCACTGAAAAAGGCTAGACTCCTGCTTTCCTTGTCCAGTAATGAAAGTTATGTATTAAAGTTTTCTGTAAGGATGATACTGAAGTCTTCTGTCTCCACACGACATGATGGCTTATCAAATACCCCCTTTGCAAAGCCATGTGGTCTAACACCATTTCTTCCTATTCCTACTGCAGTTGGTACGTGATAATGCAGATCTTCGTTGTGAGCTTCCTAAGCTGGAAAAACGACTTCGAGCTACAGCAGAGAGAGTTAAGACCCTGGAAAGTGCACTGAAGGAAGCCAAGGAGAATGCCATGCGGGACCGCAAACGCTACCAGCAGGAGGTAGATCGCATTAAAGAGGCTGTAAGAGCCAAGAACATGGCAAGGAGAGCACACTCTGCTCAGATTGGTAAGGACAAAACGCAAATGAACTGTTGGGCTATTTGTAAACTTTGTATACATCTTAAAAGTGCTGTGATATTAGAAGGCATCCAAGCCAAACTATTGATTCTGAGTTGTTTCACCAACTTCCTTGCATGGCGGGTAATGGAGATCTAGGGGAGGCTAATCTCTCCAAACCTCTGCTAATGCTCTCTGGCACTGCCTTGGGGTGGGTCCACGGCCAAGCTCAGAGCTCCTCCAGGATTCTGAGTGGCCTGGGCTCAGAGCTCCTCTGGACTTCTTTGGCCACCAGACAGTTGGCCAATGGGACTCAGGGCTGCTTAGGGCACCAGCTGGGAGGTTTTGCGAGGTAGCGGGCTAGCTTCCCTGACCACGAGGTACACGCCTTGTTCATGGACACTCCAGAGACCTCACTTCTATAGAACATATCCCACTAGAAGGCTGAAGATCTTCAGATTTTTGTTTTACTGATTTAGATTGCTTACTGTGTCTTGTGTAGTTCTAATGACCTTTCGTCACCTGGATTGTCTTTAAGTTAACCTCTCTTCTATCCTCCTTGTTGCTTTTCCTCTCACTTCTGTGCATATTTCAGTTCAAAATGTAATTGCTGTGCAGCTTGGGGATGTCTGTGGCTACCAAAGACTGCACACACAGCTATAGTGGAATTGTTTTCACATCTTGTGGTGGAACAGTGCCAATGGAAAGGCCACATTTTGGATGGTGAAGCTTGTGTGCTCATACCAGAAAATTTGAGGGGGTAACAAGGTGCACATACACTTAATGCTTTCATTCTGCCTCTTGCAGAAAGTTCCCAAACGATGCTTTCTCTCCTCCAGGAGTGTCACAGAGGGAGAAAATAGGCATATGCAAGTACCTGGCTGGCCAACCCAAGCAGTGATCTCTATGTATTCTTCCCCAATCAGCTGCACTGAGCAGCAGAATATAGGGGTGGTTGTATAGAGGAATGATTGCTGGCAAAAAATGGGCAAGTGATCATTGCAGTATGTATCTGTGGACAGAGAGAGGAAAGTTATGTCATTTTCCCCAGTGTCAGAATTTGGCCCAAATTTTTATAGCTGTTAGGAAATGCCTAGAATAGTTACTTTTAAAACCGTCCAGTTGTGTACAGAGCAGACAGTGAGGTGCAGTTGCTGCTATGAGTGTTAAATTCTGGTGTTTTGATTTTCCCACTACAGCCAAGCCTATCCGCCCTGGCCATTACCCAGCATCTTCTCCAACAGCTGCCCATGCTATCCGAGGAGGAGGAATGTCAAACTCCAGCTACTGCCAGAACATGAAATAAGCAGTAAGTGAGTTCAGAATGACATTTACATCTGCTGGTGCTCAGTGTTCTTGTTTTTAGAAAATTGTGGAGGCTTTGATGGGGAATCTGTTTTTCTGGAGGTTTAGTTACAAAGAATAATAATAACCATTATCTTGGGAAAGAATGCACTGTCAGAACACTGTGCAAGCTGCTGGTTTGGATTCTGTCCTTTCTCATTATGCCCAGACCTGAAGAAGAGCTCTGTCTAGCTTGAAAGCTTCTCTCGCCAACAGAATTTGGTCCAATAAAAGGTATTTCCCCACCCACCTTGTCCATCTGAGACCAACACAGCTGCAATATGCAACTGGACATTTTTTATGTAAACTAAACTGCTGTTATAAATATAGGCTGCAATATGGAAAGTACAAAAGTAAAAACCTATGTTATGTGGCAAGGATTCAAGGATTCCCATGTATAGTGGCTGCCCTTGCAAATTTTCCTTTTATTATCTTTTTGCTTTGGATGACATAAATTTGTCCTCCCTGTTTGCAGTATTCCCTGTATTTAGAGTAGAGAATACCCAGAGTATCCAGAGGCAATGTTATGTAATTGAAAAGTTTGAGCAACTATTTTGTGTATGCATGCAGAAGCAGACTGTTATGTGATTCTAGATACTTGCGGGGGGAGGGGGGGGGAGATGTCTTTTGGACGCCATTCAGAATGTGAACTTTCAGAAGCAAATCTCATGTCATAAGGATGAGAGACCACTTGAGAGATGAACTATCTGGTAGATGGTTCCTATAGCAACACAGACCTAGGTTAAAATGTACCGTTCTCTATACTGTGAGTGCCACTTACAGAAAGTGGCATGCCAAAGGGGAACAAAAAGCAGCAATTTGGAAACTGTATAGGATTTACAAAAATTGATGTCTTGGAAAAATCCTTGTTATACTTGAAAGAATTTTACAGGATCTTTTTAGGTGGATAAGGCAAAATGCCACATTTATTGACAATGTAACACTGTCCATAATGTCTTCCATTGGTCTGCTTTGTATTGGGCCCAGTTGATGGTAGCTTGGTGCCTCTGAGTTTTACAACTTCTACTCCAAACACTTACATTTCAAACTCAGTCCCTGTCCCCAGGAATGACACTACAATTTCACACATGGGAAAAGGGATATGATTGTCCATACAAAAGGTATCAATCTATTTTGGTACAAAGCTTCTATTAGTACAAACTTTTAATTAATTCATTGTATTTTCTTTATAACACAATCTATATTCTGATTACTGCTAAGAGCAACAGTGCGATCGTACTGAATCAGTAGGATCCTTCTGATCTCTTTCTGTCATAACATCATATACAAACACAAGCAGTTTGCCTGATGTATCTTTATTAAGGGCCTAAAAGACTGTTCTTCCATGCTAACCAGAAAAGGGTGGCCAACAGAGTTTAACATTTATTTTCATACTGCCCATTAAGCACATTACATAAAACATTATAAAACTCTGTGGCCTACATCTTGATTAAACGTGTTCTGTTTCTGATTCAAAATGGAGGAAGGGGAAATTAGGCAATTGCTCTTTGGTTAGCTTTGACTTTATCCAGTACTGATGTGAGGTGATAAATTCTAGACAACAGGTAAGCAGAACAAGTTTAAGAAAGAACTATCCTCTGTTTTAATCCTCTGTGGCAGTTGCATAGGAATGTTGAGTTTCTAGCACCACATAGTACAAAACTCAACAATGCAATCAGCTAAAGCACCAGTTGTTGTAGTAAATGGAAGAAAGAACGTGGCAGTGGGCTGATGCCTCAGCCTCGTTGTGCATGGGCGATGGGTAATGTAGGCACAGGGAGGCACAGCCTTCCCAAAATTGCCTGTGAGACTGACCACCTAAGGCGGGGGCTGCCGCCAGGGAAGGCTGGGGCTGTGGCGCAGCAGTCTGGCTCTGGTAACTGGAGAAGGCAGCTCTGCTTTCCCCACTTGCCAGGGAGGCATCAGGCTGCTGCATGGCAGCCCAGCTTCCCCCAGCCGCCAGGGAGGGAGGAGACCACGGCTCAGTAGCCTGACTTTCCCTAGCTGCCAGGGGCCACAGTATGGCAGACATGGATCTATAAGTGGCCCAGAAGGATTGGGTTGAGAATGGGCATGGCCTTGGTAGAAGGGATGAGCCTTTGAGCGGAAGGAGCTGGGCTGGGGTTGCCTTCCCCAGCTGGCCTTTCCCCCAACACCCGTGTCACTCTGCCATTTATTGGAGGAAGAGGATGGATGTTGGCTAGCATATTGAGATGAACTCTGTGTTTAGGAAACTGAAAGGGGAGTAGGGCTGTTTAGATTAGATTAGAACTAGGAAAAACAATTTTGTGGTCCTGCAAAAATGGAGATCTTGCCAAATCAAAATGGCAAATTTTCACAAACGAGAAACCCAAAAAACATTTGATTTGTCAAACACTTTTTGAGAATTCAGTAATAGTGGGAGATTTCAACTATCCCCATATTGACTGGGTACATATCCTCAGGACAAGCTGCAAAGACAAAATTTCTTGATACCTAAATGACTGCTTCTTGGAGCAGCTGGTACAGGAACCCACAAGGGGAGAGGTAGTTCTCGATTTAGTCCTGAGTGGCATGCAGGATCTGGTCCAAGAGGTAACTTTAACAGGACCACTTGGAAATAGTGACCATAATATATTAACATTTAACGTTCCTGTGGTGGGAAGAACACCTCAGCAGCCAACACTCTGGCATTTAATTTCAAAAAGAGGAACTATGCAAAAATGAGGAGGTTAGTAAACAGAAATTAAAAGGTACAGTGACTAAAGTAAAATCCCTGCAAGCTGCATGGACACTTTTCAAAGACACCATAATAGAAGCCCAATTTAAATGTATACCCCAAATTAAAAAATATAGTAGAAGAACTAAAGAGCCACCGGGGCTTAACAACTATGTAAAAGAAGCAGTGAGAGATAAAAAGACATATTTTAAAAAGTGGAAGTTAAATCTTAGTGAGGTAAATAGAAAGGAATATAAACACTGCCAAATTAAGTGTAAAAGTGTAATAAGAAAAGCCAAAAAGGGGTGTGAAGAACAGCTAGCCAAAAACTCAAAAGATAATAACAAAATGTTTTTAAGTACATCATAAACAGGAAGCCTGCTAAACAACCAGTGGTGCCCCTGGATGATCGAGATACAAAAGGAGCACTTATACACAATAAAGTAATTGTGGAGAAACTAAATGAATTCTTTGCTTCAGTCTTCACGGCTGAGGATGTTAGGGAGATTCCCAAACCTTGTAGGTGAGAAATCTGAGGACTTGTCACAGATTGAAGTGTCATTAGAGGAGGTTTTGGAATTAATTGATAAACTTAACAGTAACAAGTCACCGGGACCAGATGGCATTGACCCAAGAGTTCTGAAAGAACTGAAATGTGAAATTACAGAACTATTAACTATGGTTTGTAACCCATCCTTTAAATCAGCTTCTGTACCCAATGACTAGAAGATAGCTAATGTAACGCCAGTATTTAAAAAGGGCTCTAGAGGCGATCCCCACAATTACAGACCGGTAAATCTAACATCAGTTCCAGGCAAATTAGTTGAAACAATAGTAAAGAATAAAATTATCAGACACATAGAAGAACATAATTTGTTGGGCGAAAGTCAACATGGTTTCTGTAAAGGGAAATCATGTCTTACTAATCTATTAGAGTTCTTTGAAGGGTGTCAACAAACATATGGACAAGGGGGATCCAGTAGATATAGTATACTTAGATTTCCAGAAAGCCTTTGACAAGGTCCCTCACCAAAGGCTCTTGTGTAAATTAGGTTGTCATGGGATAAGAGGGAAGATCCTTCCATGGACTGAGAACTAGTTAAAAGACAGAAAACAAACGGTAGGAATAAATGGTAAATTTTCAGAATGAAGAGGGGTAACTAGTGGTGTTCCCCAAGGGTCAGTCTTAGGACCAGTCCTATTCAACTTATTCATAAATGATCTGGAGAAAGGGGTAAACCATGAGGTGGCAAAGTTTGCAGATGACACTAAACTGCTCAAGGTAATTAAGACCAAAGCAGACTGTGAAGAACCTAAAAAGATCTCACCAAACTAAGTGACTGGGCAAAAATGGCAAATGAAATGTAATGTGGATAAATGTAAAGTACAGGCAGTCCCCGGGTTACGTACAAGATAGGGACTGTAGGTTTGTTCTTAAGTTGAATTTGTATGTAAGTCGGAACTGGTACATATTTTGGGGGGGGGACAGGGAGCTGGAGTTAGGTGGAAAAGACCCTGATTCTCATACAACTTCCTTAGTCTAAGAAAAACACATACTGTTTTGATATGAAGGTTTTTTTGGTTGATATTTTAATTAAAAATTGATCATAAGTTTCAGTGTTTCATGCTATATCCAAATCTTCCTTTTGGGGTACCTGAAAGATCCCAGTTATTCATTTAATAGTCAGAATCTTTGTTTTTTATAACTAAAAAAAGTTTATTCAATGCATATTACTGTTCCAAATAGAATTTGCTACAGATGGTTCAGTGAAATGGGTATTAAGTGTAATCAATAGTCATTGGAGAGCACAGTGAAATATTGATACAATCAAAGCTGTTGTTGTATTCTGCTGAGCAGAAAATGGAAATCCCTTCCTGTGAAGTGTGTGTGTGAATTTATCCACAGGATTAATTTTAAAGAAAAATTCTGTGTTGGGAACAGGAGTTTAGCCACAGGTGGGTCCTCATTGTCCACTCACCCACTTTGCAACCAGACCCATCCCCTCGGGGCTTACCCTGCTCCGCTCCAGCCAGAGTGTGGGGTTGGGGCTTATCCCCTCTTCCCTTCTGTCCTGCTCCTCCCCATTCTTGCCCACCCACAACACTGGGTAATTTTTCAGCTTCACCTCTGCCAGGCTGGAAGGGACTTGTTAATTTCACGTGACGCTAACAAGATACTTGCAGCTGTAGTGCTGAAGAGAGAAAGAGCTGTTGCTCCCAAGGTGGGGACTGTAACACAATGGGTCTCACTGCCTGCTGCTCCTGCT